AATAAAGAATGTGTTATAACATCATATTTTCACACAAAAAACATATTTGTATTATTTTCAGAATGAAATTTCACTCACTGTTAGTAATAAATACTATTTTCCTTCATTATGCAGATTTGCAAATTTGACAAAAAAAAATAATTGTCACTTTTTGCAGAATATCTAATGTTGACATCAATGATGTCATTTCCTGTAATTTTTGTAAATAACTTAATGTAAGAAAAAAGAAGATAAATATGTGATTCATAAAATAAACAGCAAACTCCTTTATAAAGGGGGCTTGAACCCCTGGAAATGTAGGCGATTGATAAACTTTGTGCATGACATAGTGTTTTTGTTCTTCCCATAACATTACTATCAGTTCATGAAGAAGTTGCAAAACTTTAATGTCTCTGTTAGTTAACATGTTTCGGATAATTTTCCTGAATATGTCTCTCCAGTAGTTGAAAGGTTATTTTTTTAGTCTGAAACAAGTTTCCATTCAAGTGTATATTTATGTCCCCTATTTGCAATGGTGGTGTTACTGATACATAAATAGTGTGAAATATTTTTTTTAAAACACCCCATTGACAGTTTCAAATTTAAAGCATAACAAGTTCAGCATAGTAAGAATACTGTAAAAAATCTTCACATTGATATGTATCATATTTAAGTTAAAACCTGTATAAAGAAACATTAAGTTTTTAGAAGGAGTGTGATTATGGTATATCACACTGATTTTTTTTTTCATTCCTCATCATATACAAAGAAAAGGAATATTAAATTGTGTTTGTTCACACTGACATTTACAAATATATTTCATCCTGAAGAGTGAAATATTTGTTGTCATGTTTATCACATAGGAAACATAGCCTTTGAAATATTTGATGAAATTGCTTAATATTATATTGGAGCATCTGATGATAAGGAATCTGGGACATTTGCCTCATAGTAAAAAAAGTGTTCTTAGACATATAGTATATAATTGGATGTCCCCCCCCCCCCCCCTCTGAGTAAATATTGAGTTATAATAAAGAATTTCAAGGATTTCAAGGATAGGCAGCAAATGTCCTTGGACGGAGGTTTGGGGGTGGGGGAGGGATGGGGGCAGATGTTCATAAACATGTACCCTATCGGAGTGATAAACATTATTGTATTATTGTGAGTTTTCATCTTTAAAATTCTTTCATGTGAAGGAGGAATCCAGCAAGCTTACAGAGGGATGATGATTAATTCAGTTGCCAACATGCAACTAAAGTAATACAAACATACAAACAGGAGCACCTGAGGTCTTCCTTCACCAGTATTGCTGGAAATTTGCCTTATACAGTGTCAATGTGACTTAAAGCCCAATTAAATGAATGAATAAATTGTCTTATATTATAAGAGTTAATGCCCCTGAGTTGTTAAAAATGTTGATAATGTCACAAATTGAGTTATGTTGATGTTTTCACAATAGTGCCTTACTCATTTATGTCATATGTATCACAATACTTAAATATGACCACTAAATTATTAACAAAAATATGTTAAAATTTTGTGTTAATTTTCATTTTTATATGCCTGAAAGAATTTCGGACATACTATGTTATACTCCCTGGCGTCCCTTCGTCTGTCCGTCCGTACGAACCCAGAGGTACTTGTGTGATTTGGAGAACAATAGGTAACAGTAAATTCTCTTTGCTCCTATTCATTCCGTTTTTACTTGTGTGTCTTTTTTTAAGCCTTGTGTGACTAAAAATGGCCAAAAAGATCAAAGGAAAAGTCACATAAGTACCATTTTGTGAGTACGTCCGTGCATCCATCCATCCGTGCATCAACAATTTCTTTAATCAACTTTTCCTCCTAAACCACTTGGCCAAATTTGTTGAAACTTTGCAGGGATGTTCCTTGCATGAAGGTCTACCAAAGTTGTTCAAAGAGTTAGATTCTATAAAGAACTCTGTTTGCCATGGCAACCAAAAGATTATTTTACAAAAAATCTTAAAAATTCTTGTAAAAAAACGAAAGAGTTAGAGCTTAGATATTTGTCTTGAAGCATCTTCTAGTAGATGTTTAAATGTTTGCTCAGACGGACAGACGACGGAGAAGTGATCCCTATATGTTGCCACTACTCCGTAGAGGCGACACAAAAAGATAGAGAGTTGAAAGAAATGTATCTTTAGGGAGATGTTTGAATATTTTAAAGAGGAGGCAGAGAAAAGAAAAAACCTGAGCAAGGAAGAAAAATTGGTGAGAACAGTTTAAAGTAATTGAGCTGCGCCATGACAAAACCAACATAATGCGTTTGCGACCAGCATGGCTCCAGATCAGCCTGCGCATCCGCGCAGTCTGATCAGGATCTATGCTGTTCGCTATCAGTTTCTCTACTTGTTCTAGGATTTGTAAGCGAACAGCATGGATCCTGATCAGACTGGGCGGATGCGCAGGCTGGTCTGGATCCATGCTGGTCGCAAACGCATTATGTTGGTTTTGTCATGGCGCGGCTCATATGTACTCCGAGGATAATAAGGGTATAGTTCTTGTTAAGACATTTTTATGTATTGATGATTTGTGAGCAATTACATTATACAGCATAGCACACTTTTTGTTGGTACATTCGATGGACCATTACTCTTTGGAGAGGTTTAAGTCTGTTTAGGTCAAGGTCATTAAGGCTATAAATAGACTTCTCTGCTTTTCCTCATGGTAAGGCCATGTTTCCTTAACTTCTCAAAACAACATTGGGGAGTATGTCTAGGAAAATATTTTGCTGACAATAATGTGTAAATTCATGAACGGTTAGACCTTATTGGCAGGGCAGCAAGATTTGATTTTGATTTACTTGTTAGTTTCATCTGAATGGTTTCTTTACTTACCAGTATGATGTTTATAAAGTAAATTTTGGAAAAAATTTCACTTGTCCTCACAGGTTTTGGGACAACCGTGACAATATGGACAATTTAATTTGCTGTCCTTGACTGTTAGCGGAAGAGTTTAGCACGGAGAAAGGTAGTCTAGTACTGGTGTAACTCTCCAGGAACGATGGTTAGGAAACTACCCGCCTATATGACTGAAATACTGTTGGGAAAAGGCGTAAAATGAAACAACCACTTATAAAGGGATTGTCTTTGCCCTCACTGATGCAAATATTGCATGTCATTTTGTTACTTTCATACAAAAGCAATGGATATTTTGTTAGCCATTCCTGACGAAATTCAGGATCAATTTTTACTTTTGGAATGGATTGTTTTTCTTTAGGGGGATTAGGGTCATTGTCAACATTATTTTTATCTGATACTTCTTTTGGGTCATGGACAACAATATTTTGTGTATTTTTCGTAAAGAAATTGGTCAATCTCCGCTGCTTTGGAGCAGATGACATTTTCCAGCAGACAGTTAATTCGTTCGCGGAATATGACGACAATAAAATAAATAATTTTGTCTGGGCGCTTTCTATATATGCAGTATCGTATAAATGCAAGCGTTTATTAACTACTTGAAATTGGACCACGTACTCCGTAAATTTCATTTCTCATTAAATTATAGTCATGCCCACATTAAACATTCTGTACATTTTTATACTGAATTGACGGTTTATAGTCTGTATATCTGACTTGTGTTGAAATCAACGATGGTGATATTCTTGCGTCACAAAATACGCACTAAATAAATTTCATTGCGTCATGGCCGAAAAAAGTGCGGCAAAAACACGCTCTGGCAGAAACACTGGCACTATTTAGACTACAGTGTATATAGTTCTATTTTAAAGTCGAACTGTCACTGAAACTGTCAATGGCCATTTTTTCAGTTTTATTTATGGAGAAATACTTCAGGAGCCTCTTATGCAATATTTCAGGTACAAGTGGGCTCCTGACTCAGAGTAGAACCAGCACATGAAAGAATCCAAAGTTCTTTTTGGGATTCAAACTCAAAGCAGTATTTTATTTACAAAGCAACCTGAAAATAACGCTGTATTAATTGTCATCCATTTCAAAACTATTTAAGTTAACATAAACTATCAAACAGAACTTCAGTCTCAAATAAGAGTTATACATTTTCAGTCGACTTAACTTATAACAAACTCGCTTATAACAAATTATCGTTTATAGCGAACTGAATCTGACATCCCCGGCCGAAACCTTCTTTATTTTATATTAAATTTACTCACGTAAAACAAATTTTCAGTTATAGCAAACCATTTTTTCAAGCCCCAAACGGCGAAAAACATGTAAATTTCCTCAGTTAAAACAAACTGTTATTAATTTAAATATCGGGATGCGCTCGATTAAGATCAGTACACGGATACCACTATCCGATAATTATTCAATCTAGTGATTGTAAAGGTATGTTATGGCTTCAGGGAATAAAGATTTTGATAAAATGTTCCCAGAACATAATTTCCTAGTAATTATGGAAAATTTGTATTTCGCACCCTTAGTTGATATATTGCTGTAAATACCCGATATTTATCAAATAATTGATATTTGTTTGCAATTTTAACAATCAAATAGCAAAAGAATACAAATGGTAAGTACTTTATAGACAAGTACTACATGTCCAAATACATGTACCATGTACATAAAATATTGTTCAATAAAAAGCCCCGCATTAAATTACTGCTGTTGTAAAATACCAATTACATCGGTAACTAGTAAAGGTTTGCCTTTTTCACAGCAAATTTACCAGTTTTTCTTTTAGCAAACTTCGGATGTAACAAACGATATTCAAATGTCCCATTGAGTTCGTTATAAGCGTAGTTGACTGTATCCCATTTTTTTAAGCACAAGGAAGATCTGCAGTAATATACATGTAAATTAAGTACTTACAATTCTTCAAATAGAGTTTTGGCTATACCACCTCCAGGAATGTAGAGTTCTCCCCCTTCACCATCCTTGGCCTCTAACACAGATGGCGCTGGGAAACACTGACGTCTCTCTAGCTCCTCCCACTCATAGAAATTACGGAACATGTCACCAAATGCTTCCTCTATTTGTGGTGATGCAACACATCTAAACTGTGGTCTACAATGGAACAAAAACACATGCTTGCTAATTATATTGGATTTAACTCAATACAGGATTGGAGCAGTACCTCTACAGTAGACGCTTGCAGAAATCATGATCACAAAGTAGACAAATATTGTTTTTTTCGCCGATTTTTACATTTTTCATTCATTATCATAAGTGATGTTCCGATTGTCGCAAGTCGCCGATAATCAGTTACTAATATGTAAAGCGACAATAATCGATTCACAAAAAATTTGTTCCGCGAGCGTCGTCGAAAATGTTTAAAGTATCAAAAGGAATTAATTCTGACGGTAATTTTCTTAAATTAGCAACACCTTGCCGATTGGAGAAAAATCATCTCAGAGACAATTTGGATTTGAACAGGATCAATAAGTGATGTAAACAATAGTAATATAATGTGGTGTAAATGTTATTATTTGACATCCATTGCAAAATAAATCTATTTCGTAAAATTATGACTATGTAAAGTTAAAACTGTGTTGAAAAGTGCTAAATGAAGTTCATGTTACTGAATATAATAAAGTGCATCGGGAAAAATTGTTACTTCCCTATTTCTTTTTAATGCGACTTTATTCGAAAAGTTATCGATTATGTCCCATCCGACTGAACCGATGATCAATTGGGACATATTCCATCCGATTTCCATCACTAATTATCATACATAAATCAGTGTGAAAAGATGAATTAAACCTATTTCAGTTCATTCCGTTGGGTGAAAAGGCAAGATTTTAGCATTTTATGATTCAATCGCCTTGCCCGGTATGTACCGTAATACGGTATTTAGTGTGGTGCTCCAATACTTTTTTTAGTCTCACTCAATTATATTACGAAATATTTTTATAAAATTTATCAACAGTAAAATTAAACTGGTTCCATAATAACATGGTCGATTCTCGAAAAAGATTAACATAGAATGTCTCTATTGTTTAACACATGAATATTGAACATAAACAGAATAACATGTTCCGGGACAAAATATTATCCTGCTATTTTAAATAGGGATTTATGTGTGTGCAATTCACTTTTACAAAAATTTAATACCATATCAAAGCAGATATATGGCTTCAAACACTAAAATTTATTTCTAAAAAGTATAATTCAATTAAGATACTAATGATTTTGCCTATAAATTAACAATATCATTTGAATGAAAAAATTCCTGTCTGATTCAAAATCAAAAGCTGTAACAAATCAATGTAAGAATACTGAAAAAAACCAACCAGATATCTCTTTGACAAAAATAAACAAATGGCCAAGTAGGAAAATCTATTTTTAGCAACCTGAAGTTGAATCCAATTAGCATGCAACTCAATACAATTGCAGATATCTATATAAGTTATAAACACACCAAATATCTAGGATGTAAGTCAATAGATAAAACAATAGAAGAACAGAATGACAAACTCAAAATCATATACCCCATGGGGAACTTAAAAATCAATTCAATGACACACAGACACTCGGAGGTTCCACTTGAAAATTCTGTATAAGTAAACACTGATCCGTGCCGAAAGAATAAGTTTTATTTTTATATAATATGTCATGTAATACGATTCGTAAGATAAATATGACTTAATTAAGGTTTTGGCCTGGTTTTACATCACACATGTCATATGGTGAGTTTCCAGCTCCAGTGGTGGAGGAGGACATCAGGTGCCCCTTTGTGCATTATTTCAGGCACCGGCTGGCACCAGTCCTGAGCAGAACCATCAACCTTTTGTAATCAAGACAGATACTGTCTTTATATGAAAAAATTAAATCTCTTGTATCTCTGATCATTAATTTCACCACTTATAAGTGTTGAAAATTGAGTACCGCACAAGTTGGTGCTAGTGGGCATAAGAGATGTTGCACATTTTCATTATCCCTCATTTACAGACTCAAACAAACTGAGTCTGCAATTTGCATGTAATTTTTTAGAGTAATTGCCTGTTTTAATGCTTCTGAGGGATCAATTTTTTTCGTGATATTTGAACCCACAGTCATCCGGGATAAGTGTAGCCTAGCGATTTGTGCGCCAGGGCTTTTTATCATATATACAATGATCGAAAGAGAAATCTATGTAATATTAGTTTGTAAAATTGGTCAGTCTTGCAGTCGAAATATTGAGATTGGGACAAGTGATAATCAGCAGCCATAATCACTGGACCATGAAGGCCCTGAGCCTGATATTACCAGAAAATGAGAATTATTACAAACCCTTGTAACTGGACATCAAGTCTTTCATCAGCTGAGCTACTTGTTGCTATAACAACTCTTTTAAACTCATTCTCTTTTATCCACTGAACTAACCAGTTCCTGAATAATCCCCTCTTTCCCTGCAATATAATGTTCATTCTTTAAATGCTTGCAAACTGACAATGTGGACATTCAATCATTTTAATCTGTATTTTATTACGTTTTTGTTTTTTTTGTTGTTGTTTTGGGTTTTTTTTGTAAAATATTCCCAAACATCAGGGCTGTAATGGGCAGTCATTTTATTTTACACATTTACATTATATATTTTCATGCAGATAATAATGATGTATACAACACATTTTTATGTATCAAAAAGTACATCACTGATTTAAGCGATATTCAATAATAGAATAGTAGTTTAAATAAATTAACATTTTAATCGGTTTAAACATTTTCATATTAGTTTGATTGTGAAACATGTCTTCAAACCTGTATTAATGTCTTTCACTCCATTTCTTTGAACAGACTTGTACTTTTATGTGGAAAGATGGTTGTGAGCATAGTAGGACCTGAACACAGGTTCCCTGGGTTGATAGGCAGGCACCTTAATCACTAAATCAACGATCCCCATTGTGTTTGATTCAATGAAGTGGTAGAAAATTAAATAAATTAAGTGAAAAAATAACATTTATTAGTTAAGTTTATTCAAATTTATTTTAGTTTGATTGTGTTGGTGTGTTGGTGTCACAATAGGGACTACGATGGGATACCAGGCCGACCACAATTACAATCTAAAACAACCAACAACTCAGAACAGAACATATATACAAATTTATTTACAAGAAACGAATATTTATAAATGAAAAATGATTATATATGAGAAATCACTGCGCAAACAAACACTATCAACGTATCTCAGTCTATTTCTCCCGTAAAGTTTCTGTCATGATGTTTCAATAAAGTGGTGGCGTTGTTGAACAAAATTCGTCACAATGGCGGGCGTCTTGTATAAAATCTTATCAAGCGTAACTACTTCCTACAGTGTTGGCACAGTTGATAGGATCCTGAACAAGGGCATGCGTCACCCTTTAGCCATGGACATACGTGTGGAGGGCCCGTGTCATCTTCGGGTGTGTACTCAAATAAGAAGCTACAAAGTATAAAACATGGTAAGTTCCATGATAATCAAACATAAGGGTATAATAAAGTCCCTTGGAAAAGACTCGACCTTTGTCGGTTTCCAATAAAATAACGTGCTTCTTTGAATAAACAAAATGTCCACTATAGTACACCATACATTCCGTGGAACAAAAATTCAATCACATCCGCATAATACTGCGTTGCAAATATATTCAAATATACGCCACATAATAACCACTAATAAATAAACGTCTTCCAAAATCATGCCACTGAAGATCCTTCTCTAGAGATACGTTAGTTTTGATACGTTGTTTTTACTTATAACAAAAACTGATGATAAATGAAATGAAGTAAGATGATAACGTAAATTAAATTGATTGAAACAAATCATTACGATACTGCAGGATTTTACATAAAGTTACACAAATACGGTAGAACCATAATAAATTATTTATGAATAGATATATATATATCTATAAAATATTCATGGCTCCTATACAATTACAATATAATTAAAACTTCAATTAACATACATCAATTAACATGTCTCGGTATAAATTTGCAATAGCGAAACACTAGAATAAAAACAGCTTTTAAAATTTAATCTGCAAAAATATAGAAAATTTAGAAAACAATAAATTACTGCCAAATAACTAAACCTGAATCAAATAAACTATAATTCTAATAGAAAAAAGTATTTTACGAAATAGCAAAAAATTATGAAACAAAATCACTAGAAAATTAAATTTACCTTGTACAAGCTGTAATTTTATGACAAATATAATTTGTCTGTCGCCGTCATAGTGACCTGTATAACGTCCAGTGCATTGCAATATATCACTTAAAATTTAGTCATTATATAGCAAACTACTGAGTACTGAGCGGGAAAACGGATCGTGCAAAACATGAATCAAAGGGCTGCAAACTCTGTGGTATTTTCTGATCCCTGCAATCTAAATCGTACTGTATATCTGTATGTGTTTTCCTGTATAAGTTTATTTTTATGTACTAAAAGTCATCTTGCAGGGCACCAGAGTTTGATACATAGAGGATATTCAAGTTTTTTCTATAAATACATGATTTATTTTCATCGAGTGGTATGAAAATAAATATTTCATGAGTGGCGATAGCCACGAGTGAAATATGGTAATTTTCATGCCACAAGATGAAAATAAATCATGTATTTATAGAAAAGACTTGAATTTTCTGTTTATTATATACATTTTTCTCTTTCTGGACATTAAAATTTGCAAGACTTTCCCTTAAATTCTGAGTACTGGCAGAATTTAAAATAAAGTAGTCCGGCAAGACACCAGTGAAAATACGGAAAATATGTTTCACTGCAGTGAAAAATAAATTTTTACAGTGAAAATACGGAAAATGAAAATACGCATTTTATTTCATCAATATTTCTCAATATTTCATTACAAAGTATATAATAAATACGGAATTTGCATAACTAGGGTTGCATCAAAAAATAATTTATGTTCATTTTTTATGATAGCCAGACTTTATCCTTTCATATCGTGGCTATTTTCTTAACAAAGACACTAAAAAAAAAGAATTAAAAAATGTTGACTCGACTGGGATTTGAACTCTAGACCTCTCACACACTAGACGAGCGCGTTACCCCTGCACCACGGAGATGTTTTAAAATCAAAAGCTGAATAAAATCAAGTCATTCTAAATTTAGAATTTCCATTGCATTTTGGATTAGGGTAATTTCGAGGTATTTTGTTCAGGGTAAACCTGTTGTTTAAAATTGAAGTAAATAATTTAGCAAAAATCTTCTCGCCCAAACAGTCCAACATGTAGAAACTATATATTTAACTACTCGGCAGTCAGATTTATTTGTGTAGTATTCGGTAATCGATGTCGCTAAAAATAGCATTTTCATTGATTAAAATCATATTCATCCGCGTAATTTGTGAGTGTGCATTTATTGACAACTCTATAAGCCAACGCTACTTTAAAAGTTTGAAGGTGTAGTAATTTGTTGGACGCTTGTAACAAAAAATTGTTCTTTCTTTTAAATTGCTGGTTTTTAAGCAGTTTTGAGTGAGAACTAATTTGCGTTGTTAGGACTGTTAGGAAATTTTGTGTTAGACCGTGGATGTTATCTGCGATCAGAAAATACAAAAATCGATTTGCCCGAAATAAAGCTGGGACGGCGGGAAAAATAGTTATGTAATATAAAGGCCCGTCCTTCAAATACAGACATAATACATATATCTGGTTCATAAAACAAAAATGTAACTTTCTTATTACTGAAAAGATTTTTGTGAAATAAACGGCAAGATGTTTAAATTGAGACATGGAAATTTATGCAAACCATAAAAATACTCTAAATAATAATTTCACCCGAAAACTCTAAATTGAACAAAAGATGATGCAATCTCACATCAATGAATATAGAGTAAAAATGAGGTTCGGCGTGAAAATATAATGCAAGATTTTACAAACGTACTTTCACTTTGTGACAGTTGGAAACTATAAGCTTCTTTAAACACCCTCAAACACTTATTAAAAACCAAATCTGAGTATTAACTGTCAATGAAATGTGTGAATTCATCATTTTACAAATAATTGATAAAGAAATAATTCAGACTGGATTTCAGGTTGCCCCAAGGTCATGGCTTATTTCCAGCTTTACTGAAGGTAGAAAACCTGGAATGCCAGTTCATACATTATTTCAGGCATGGGTAGGCAAGAAGTACAGACCAAGCTCAGCTTGCATGTCTGATTATGGTCTGCACTGCTATTCTATAAGCATATAAGTTGAAATTTTGAAAAAGACCAAAAGACCATTTAACTGGACAACTGCTTTACAAAAAGAATTCAAAATCCTTGGCAGAATTCATCCTTCACTTGTCTCACGGGGTTGAAGGGCAACCCCACTTCCACATAGTTGAATGGCCAACCCCACTCCAACAGGGTTGGATGGCAAATAGATAAAACGACAAGGAAATTACTAAATGTGTACTTGCAAAACAAAATCATACACATGTATGCACACATAAAAATTATCACAGTTTTATTTCCTCAAATAAAATACAATATACAGATCATGATCAAATAAGTGTGTGAAAAAAAGAGCACAAAAATTGTGAACACATTAAGAAATGGTTTTTACCACAAAGTAAACTGGATTTTTTAATTTACGTCTGCAGTGAAGACCAATAAATGTTCAGCGTAATATGTCAAACTGATGAAGAAGTGAAATGTACGAAGAAAATAAATTCCATAAAATTTATCTCAAAAATGAGATTTAGGTTGTGTTGTCCCATGTGTTACACATTACTAAAAAACTTTCCATTCTCTTTTTTTGGTTCACTGATTTTATCCTTGTTTATTGTGACTTAATGCGAATATATTCTGAAAGTAAGCCTTTGGTCTTTTGACTGCACATTTCCAAAAGTACGCCCTTTATCTACAAAGACCAGTCGTTGAGTTTGTTGATCTCCCTGCAGAAAATCTAGACAAAGAATTCCCACCACTGAAAGGGCATCCCTTATAAAGGTGCTAACAATGTCAAAATCAGAGATGTTTCTGGACTGAAAACAAGCAGTCCCAAATCTTCCATGCTGAAGTGATCAAAGTGAAGTAACAGTTGCCATCTACAGTCATTATCAGTGAAATAAACTCTGGTCAAACTTTGATCCGTAAAATAGTTTCCAAGAAACAGGGACCTTCCATTTAGTGTATTTTACGACAGCTTCTTCATCTGCTCCACCTATTGACCGTGACTGAAAATACAGAATAAGTTTATGTCAGCTTGTAACATGGTTTGTACTTATTGTTTTTCACAGATTACGTCCTTTGATGATGTTACAATTTTTAAAAACGAGCTGTTGGTAGGGCAGCCTGCTCGACAACTGGATAATGTAGAAGTTCAAAAAAAGCCATATTTCTGTCAAAATCCATGTTAGAGTTCTGTTCAGTTGGCATTGGGCAGAGACCTATTATGCTCTCAAATAAGCGTTTAAAGTTTCAAACCATTCCAAAAACTAGTTTTGGAGATATGAACTTGCATGCAGAAAATTAACCTCAGTGTGACACCAAGGCCAACACCTGGGTGAGAACATTAGCTCTCCCAACTCTTTGCTACACTTAAAGTAGTTGCAAATATTTCCAACATTTTTTCTCTATTTATTAGCATGTGAGAAGAGTAATGCAAATATGCAGTACTGTAAAGGAAATGAGGCACCTTGAATATTGGAAGAAAAATATCCAATCTGTATGTAATATTCAGGCATAAGTGAGCAATAAAGTAGAACCTTACGTACTCAATGTTACGGCAAAGTGATTATTAATCCTCAAAATGATAACTCCAGAGTACATGCAATTAGTAAAATGCATATTCTGAAAAATACACGGATAAAAGTAGTACCTTAGATATTGCTATTAAAATGGTTGTAATTATCAACTTACGTGAAACAAAATAAGTCCCAGCCACCTGTTGAGTCTGTTAGCAAGTTCTAAAGCTTCTGCGATATTGTCACCCTCGGCACAAAACATTAAACATATGGCTACTGGTACATCATTATACCTACAATATATAATGTATATAAATTTATATATCAGGCCAGAGATATAAAAAAAATACAGAATTTAAGTCATTATATTGTAGAAAATACTCTACATTGTATTTGGCTCAGTTTAATTTTATTATTAGTTATGTATTTCAGTGTTTCTGCCAGCTCTGATTTTCTGAGGGTCTTTTATGACCCCCTGTATTAAATTTTAGGGGTCATTAGGTCATACCGATAAATTGAACAAAAATATAAAGAACAACAGGTAACACTTGATAAGATTTATTTTCTAAGGCACTTTACTTCTTGCCAGAAAAAAATAGTTAGTTATCCTTTCTGATGTATATTAATTTATCTATACTCAGACCCTACAGTGAGCATTTACTACAAGTATGCTATTGTTATTTGTAAAGTGATTTTGATTTATATGTACCAACATGTTGTTCAACTATATGTGAATAAAATATTGTTAAATATTTGTATTTGTGTTATATTTTTTAAAAAGTTATTTTTGTCAATTTATTCATTCAACAAAATTACACCCTTATAATTTTTGCAACTGCAACCACGATTTATGTTTAGATGTTGGCAGCTTTGAAAACTCTTTCTTATCCCCCATATTCTCCGGACTTCCACCAGTTTCTGAAACTGAAAACCAAGCATCGTTGTAGGCCTTTTGGAAGAAATGAAGCTGTCATGGAGGTCACTGTCAATGAGTTCTTTGAAGACCAAAATAGAGAGTTCTATTTTGAAGGGTTAAACAAGTTGGAGAGCAAATGGGCAAAGTGCATTGATGTAGAGGGCGATTATAATGAAAAGTAAGACCATTAGTGGGGTCTCTGACTACCGGAAGTATATCGATCAAGATCTTGTATCAGTCCTTGTATATATTGGTGTATATGTATCTCCATATATTTAGATATATATAATCGACAAAACTAGTGTGACTAGACAGACCTATAAAAATTATAGATAGGAGACATAACGTTTTCATAAAGATATGTTTAAACCATTTATTTGATTGCTTTTAGAAAAAGTAAATATGTTGTGTGTTTGCCCCCGCCCGGCGGTGGCTCTTGTTTAATGAACTGTCTTCAAATTTGAACACAACAATCTTTGAGGATAGACCTTCAAGATGATCAGATAGGTTTTGACCTTCACTTACAAATGACCTTGATCTTGAAGGTCAAATTATTGAATTTTCATTGATTTTTTGTTATAATTGACTTGGTAATTAATAACTGGATAATCTTCATACCTTGACAAAATAACCTTTTGGAGGAGACTTTCTAAAAAGTTAGAACTTGATCTTTAAATGACTTTGACTATCAAGGTCAAATTATTGACTTTTGGTTAAATTGTCATAATTTTTTTTTGAGGCCCCATCTGGGTAACCCCGTTTATTTACCCCGTAATAGGTATGAGGGGGTCGGGGTCATCCTCCATCATACCTTACATTATTAATATACAATATATATGTTGCAAAATAATTATATTAATGTAAATATTGTCAAATACATCTACAGTATATACTTTGTATATAAATATAAACAACAGACATACAATAAACCCATCTACTTTCCAAAAATATTTTACCAATAAAAAACTACTACTTATTATTAAACAATTAAACAATCTGTTACGAGGTAAAGTTTTGTTTCACATATTAAGTGTAGTTTTAAGCAATTAAGGATCTTATAATTGACCATCTATTATTTTCATCAATCACTTGTCAAATTTGTATTTTTATAGATATTCCATGCTAATTTCAAACTATTTTTTAAAACCAAATACATGTAGGTAAAAAAGTTTTTTCTCTTAGACAAATAAATATATCTTTTCAATTCTAGAAAAACAATATGTCATATTTAAAATTTAGTTTCTGTACCTAATATGAATGATTTACAACAAAGAACATCATCAAAATTATGTAAGTTTTCTCTAAGGTATTGAAATAGGCTTTGAATTGTCTGACATTCCCAAAATAAATGTAAAAGTGTTTCTTCACAGCATTTACAAAAAGTACACATTTTATTGTCAACAATTTTCATTTTAAACAAAAGTGAGTTAGTAGCTAAAGTTCTATGAATAATTCTTGTTTGGAACCACTGAATTATAATATGAATCTTTAAAACATTTGAAAACATAACTATATATTAACTGCCAATTAATGTTATTATCTTTAAAACATGTGTTCCACCTTTCTTGACTTGTAGGTATATCTGATTTTTTAGCTATAATTTTCATAAACATATTTCTTATTGGTATTCATAGTTAAAATAGGTTTGACATAACAAATTTATTATAGGATATTTGAACATTTTAAGCAAATTGTTACTTATAAAAATATTTAACTTTTGCATGTACATTTTTATTGCCTGTTTTAAACTATAATACTGTAAAAAGTTCACAGGTTCACTGTTGACCTGTTCCTAAATATATCAAATCTACAAAAGTTACCCTGTTCATTTATAATATCTTTTAACAAATCTGATTCCTTTATTATATAATGTCTGAATGTAAATAAAGATT